ACTGGGAGGAATGTATGCAATGTGTTAATTATTGAAACTGTCCTACCAATCTGATTTGAAACTGTCTCATTGCTATTTGTTTATCAATAAAATTATGGAAAAAATTATACTTTCACATTAAATAGTTAAAGCATGGTCTTAAGAGAGTGAAATTAAAGGGGTAAATATTGAAAATACACTATTATTTTCACTGATCCTGGATGATAGCACATTTAGGTATCCACTCTTAAAGGTTATTACTCAACTGAAACTAAAGAGTGATTATAGGGAGGGTAGAGATTTAATTATCATTAAATTAAATGGAGGGCTCAATTAGAAAATAGAAGACATTAAAATTTACCACCAAGAGAACATCAAAGAATTAGGAATGGTTTACTGAAAAGTTATTGCAGGAACAGAGAAACAGCTACCAGTGGGAAGGTGGATGCCACTAAATTAAAGTTTTTCTATTAATGGCAGCTGGATTCAACTGAGTGAAATGACAGAATTTGAGGAAGAAAGATGTATATAATTGAATCTTGCCTACAAACTTTCTATTTTAATAAGGAGCAAACAGGAAAAATGTTGTATGCTATAAGGTTTGAACAAAATGAAGTTTACAAGAGGAATGTCAACACTGAGAATTTTTATGAATAGTCTGTAATGATCGTATGTCTTCAGAGTAAATTTATAATTAACCACTCATCCTAATATTCTTTAGGCTTATAAACTGCTCCCTAATGAATGGTTGTGCAGGCAGGAGGGCTTCTCAGGAACAGAAAAGGAAATGGCTAATTTTATTAAAGATTTGCAGGTGGGGGGGAACTATCCGCTCGGGCCCCCCTCCTGTTCCTCTCTTGGGACAGGAGCTTTCTTTCTCCCAATAAATATATTCTGCTCACAAAAAAAAGAAAAAAAAAAAAAAAGATCTGCAGGGTCCCAGTGATTTATTAACACTGCCGTAGCCCTGTTGCTGTCTGAATCCTTTACTGGTTAGGACAGTGGATAGGCTGTCATGTGGTCCAGGCTTATGTTCAGGCCACACCAGTAAGTCTGTAAGTAATGATGGACGACCACCAAGCAGCATTAAATTTATTCCTAGGTCATTTCATACATCTTTTGATGCACAGAGCCACTCTAAATAATATTGTCGATACCTTTGTACAAAAGAAGCCTGCACCTTGGCATCATGAACAGATCACATGGGGATGTATAGCCTCCTAATGGACTCAGGGCTTCGGGATGTGATGTACACACTTGAAAACTCACTCTGCCTTTTGACTTAGTGACCTCAGAGGAATTACTCCTCTATCCTTCAGTTCCTCTTATATAAAATGAGGATAATGCTCTATCTCAGAATTAAGCACCACCAGGGCAAGGCTTGGGATGTAGCTCAGTGGTGCAGTGCCTGCCTAGCAAGAGTGAGGTCCTGAGTTCGATTCCTAGTACTCTTCCCACCCTACCAAAAAAGTATTATGAGGGCAAACACAAGTGAAATGCTTAGAACTACTCCTGGCACATTCTGCTCCCCAACTAAACATCAGTAAAATCCTCACCACAGAGAGTGGTGCAATGAAGATCCACTATCAAATAACCCTGCTTGTAAACCTGACAATTTGCTCTAAGAAAAATGATGCCATTCCTAGGATTGGTACTATACTAAAGATACAAGTCTTGGAGGCCAAATATTCCTGAGTCCCTTCCCTGATGAACATACTAATGGGGAAATGATATTTCTGTGTAACATGGTAAAGAGTATAAACTCTCCAGCTGTCCATTGTCTCTAATGCATTTTCAAGAATATTTTGGATTTGTCTTTTTAAATGTTTGTTCACATAATCACATTGCTTCATAAAATCTATAACATTTTTCAAACCCTAACATATGAGAAGAGTATAGGAATGTTACTCTGCACCCGTAATAGATGCTAATGTAATGTGACCTTTTAAAATAAGGTTTGATTATGCATTTCCACGTGTTAACTTGAGTAATCATCCAGACCCTGCTGATGGTCAGTAGAAAGTAGGGTGTATCTATTAAATTATATTCAAAGCTTCAACTTCTGGCTTGTAAAGTATTTTTCACAGTTTGCTACATCTAGACTATTAACTGTAAATACTTTTGCTTGATTATGAAATACAGGAAATAACAATGTTAAGTTGTTCAAAACAAAATAAAATATACTTAAATTTCAATAACACACTGAACACAAAAATTACAATTGGTAAAATAGGACACTTGTCACAACTTGAAGAAAATTCTGTTACTAATTCAGTTAAGAATCCCATTTAACAGGTTTCAAACCACAGTAATTCAACATATAACAACTAGACAAAGAGGAAGCCACACAAACAATGGCATGAATAGAACTTTTCCCAGTATCTGCGGGCACCTTTTGTCATTACATTACCGTGACTTTCTCTGGGGAAAGACGAGGAATAGTCCCTCCAACACCTTCTTCAAGAAACTGGCTCTTTTCCCAGCCCTTTTTAATTCTCTTTAGCTTCCTGTTTATACATGGAAGGAGTAAAACGATCTTACCCAGAATTACAACTGAGGGCAAAACAAGAGCGAGAACAAAGTTTGGTGGTGTGTAAAATCTGTAGTACTCTTCTTCAAAAGCTCGCTTCCATCCATAAATGAGAACGTGGAAAGTACTGATGAGCAAAGCAACATACCCAAGGGTAGACTTGGGGCAGGGAAAGAAGAGGAAGAATCAACGAGAGACAAGTTACTCAAATTCATGAATTAACCTATTCAAATAGAATACTGTTCATATTTTGCTACAACAATCTTTTCTTAAATTAAGCATTGTCTTCTATTGTATCAAGTAATTTTTAGGCATTTCACATATATCATATATATGTGTACCTACTGTTCACATGCAGACCTTATTTTACATAAAGAAGGCCATACTGCCATTTCATAGTCTATTTCATTTATTATATCATGAATTTTTTTATGAATTTAGGGCAGGGTCTACAGGGTCTCACTATGTAGATCAGACTCATAGTGATTCTCCTGTTTTCAGCTTCCCAAGCATTGGGGTCACAGGTGTGCACCAACATGCCCAGTCTCAATCACCGTCTCAGCAGGCCCCAGTTCTAGGGCCAGCACAGCATGCCAGGGATTGAACCCGGCTGCTGTGCTCTGCCTAAGCAGGTGCTTTAGTCTGCTGAGCTATCAGGCCAGCCCTTATAATGAATAATTTTATGTCATTAAAAATAAAAACCTGTTAATACTGTGTAATATTTATTAAGTGGATGTGCATAATTTAGTCATTCCTTTTTGTTGATCATTTACTGTTTTATTCTTTAGCAATAGATAGTGTCACTTTAGGGCTTTTTCTGTATTTTGCTTTATTTTCTTAGAATTGATTTCTAGGGGTTGGGGAGATGGCTCAGTAGAATAAGCACTTCCCTGGCAAGTGCAAGGGCCTGAGTTCAATCCCTGGTTCTGACAAAAAAAAAAAAAAGAATTGATTTCTACTAAGGCATTACTGTTCTTTTCTTTTATTTTTTTGTGACAGAGTCTCACTATATAGTGCAGGCTGGCTTTGAACTCACTCATGTAGCCAAGGCTGGCCTTGAACTCATGGTGATCTTCCTACTTCAGCCTCCCAAGAGCTGAGACTACTAGTATGTGTTACCATGGTTGGCGATCTTGTCTTTTCTTAAGCATATTGATACACAATTTTAATCTTTATAAAGGTTATCTACATGCCCACTGTGTATGAAAATTATGTAGACACATATAAGATATATATTATGAAATGTGCACAATAAACGTTAAGTGCTAATTTAATGTTTCTCATAAGTATATACATATTATATATATATATATATATTACATACATATATGCTTACATGCAGGAAAATATAAAAAATTCTGTAACATTGCTATTCGATATAAATAGCAATTTTAACATGACTTTGAGTTTATTAAATGAGATTATTAAGTACTTCACTTAAGCACTTTATAAGTGAAATTCTGAAGGATCCGCATTCTTCATTTCCATAAATTATTATGTTTAAGATTGCTTACTATGAGAAATAGGCAATCTTACATAAAAATGTTAATCATTATCATGTAACACCTAACTTCATCAGGAACATAGAAATTCTCCAGCAGGCAAAATGTTTGCAATTACTCATGTAAATTTATAACAGTACTATGCATCTGTCTGGCACCTTCTATCAGAGGGCCTTCTGTTCTTTTTAAGGTGTGGTTACAGTAGCAGTTGGAAAAATACTCACATTCTTTCCTCAAAAAGAGAAAAAATGAACTTAAGAAAAGGTTATGCCTTTAATTTTTTTTTAATTTTTATTTATGTGTGTGTGTGTGTGTGTGTGTGTGTGTGGCCAGCTCAGCCCACCAGGGGGCGGGGCTGGCTGGCATGTGGTGCTGGGGGATTGAACCGCGGTCCCTGGGCTTTGCTAAGCTTGTTCTAAGTAGGTGCTTTAGACCACTGAGCCATCTCCCCACGCCCCCTATGCCTTTAATTTGAATGAAATTTTTTACATGACTTCCATAAAAGAAAAATCTCAAAAAATAGGTAAAGAAAAAAATACAAAGCTTATTGTACCACTATATTACACAGTCCACATATTGTGTTGTAAATTTGGACACTTAATCAATACCAATTTTGTGGCCAAATAGGTAGAGTCTAAATTTGAGTTACATATTTTTAAAATGTGCAAATATACATAAATATTCCTAGAAGAAACGAATGTTTATCTTTTTAAAGAAAACATGGTGTTCTGAATATCCTTTGTGGACAACCTCTAACTGATATACAAACACATATACTAACAAGATTCACAGGACTGGATGCGTGTCCAAATCCACTTACCACTGGCATTGTTTTGCTTGTTATTGTGTATGTGTGTATGCACATACACACATTTCTTTAAAAGATTCTGACTTAGCTTCTTTCCCCTTGAATTCAAATTTTTGAGAATGTTTTCCTGGAAATATCAGATGACTCAACATATTAATATTTCAATGCTTTTGCTAAGACCAAATTGACTTTTCAACATTAAATTTGATTTAATGCTGAAAGATCAAATTTGATCAATAAATTTGATCTCTCCTATTTTTCTTTCTTTAAAAGAAACTCTTCACCCTTAACATAGTAGACACTAGCAGTGCAGAAGTCTTCAATGTAATGCCACACTACCCCTTTACTTACTCATCAGAGTGGCCCTAAACTGGTCTCCAGCTGTGTGTCCTTTGAGATAGATGTGTAAGTATGGCCCCAAAGGCACCTTTTTGTAAGTACTGTAGTTTATTTAAAATTGAAGCTCATCTAACTATCAAAAGAAAGCTTCCCAATCCCTTATCAATCAAAACTCCAGTACCTGAATAAAGCCGAATTCCCTCCAATTTAAGGCATTGCTCACTGAAGGAATGGAAGTGATGGCCAGAAGGGAAAGCAAGCCAAGGCTCATTATGCCAAAGGAGATGTACATTTCAATCCTCCACACCTCCTCCTCATTCCAAGAGTTTTCAATATTTGCATGAACCTAACAAGAAGACAAATGTAAATTTCCTTTATTTGGTAGAACATTAACTGAGTCAGCACAGAACTGACTCTGGCATAAGAACCAGGTCAGTTGCTTTAAACTTGATTATTTTGAACCCACTGTAGGTTCATTTTTAAGCTAGATTCTAATTTCTAATGCTACCTTTGGATCTTCTTTTTTCACATGTATAAACTATATGTTGATTTATCTCTTATCTGTCTTCTCTAGGAAATTGGAATCTTCTGAAGATAAATCACTATGGAACCAATGTATTTATTCACTTGAATTGCTTCTTTAATAAACTTTCAAACTTCAGTTATGTTATTCAGATGTAATATTTTTCCAATGTCTTCCCATTACATTAATAATGCATATATAGTCAAGTCAGGCTTACCTGTGAGTTTGTGGTAATTTCTGTAGAGCTATACCCTAGAAATGTCTACCCACAACAATATAACTAGAGTATAAATCAAGGATTGGTCTTCCTCAATTGAAATTGATTTATGTAATTACAGAACATCATCTTAACATCATCTTAAATTTGCCTGTTTTCATTTAACACAACATAAGTGAAATTTCTTAAAAAGCCACCATTTAACCTTTAGTTCCCCAAAGCAATCATACCAATATTCTGGAAGAGCTCAGAGAGCTCATCTATCAAAAAGTCTATCCAATATCTTCTTGTTTCATGTCTACACAGCAATTCAGAATAACAGCATATGCTGGCACAGTCAGGGACCACAGCCAGGATCCACTTGCCCTCCCAGCTCATTCATCTACCCTGTTAAAACAAAAGTATTTTCAGTGTTCACTATGGGCAGCAGAGCTGCACATTATCGACCACATAGCTGTGAACTACAGGAAAAAAGGCCACTCCTCCCATGAACTGAGATTCTGATGGAAGGCAGACAACAGTACACATGATAAATAAGGTGAATGCCAAGTGCAGCAAAGTGGTAAGTGCTACTAAAAACAACAAACAGAGCAGGGTTGGAGGGCCTGGGTGCTCTCTAGCTGGTCACAGGCAGGTGCACAGTTGAGTGTCTAGTGGAGGCTTTGCCAAGAAAGTAAGATCTGAGCAGGTGATCAGAAGGATGTGGGGAAGCTGGGCCAGCAGACATCAAAGCCTTAGCATTAAGTGTTTTCAGAGTGAATGGTTTGATAGAATCAATCTATTGATTTAAAAAAAAACTGTTTGAAGTTTTGTTGAAAAAAGCTTTATTACTGCATAGTTGAGTTATGATGGATTGGCTCCTTGGAAACTTCAAACACTTTTGCACACTGGTCTTGATGCAATGTCTCTGGATCCCAGTGAGAAATGTTACACTAAACAGCTTCGGGGAAGCCCTTATTTTACACTTTCTGGAGGGATGAGATAAACGCAGTCTGCCTCATCAGCAAGCCTCTCCTCTGAAGCTCTTGCTGAGATCTTCCTGGGGAGCTAAGTGGTAGGAAGCTTCACCAGAGGAACGAGTATTTTTCCACACTTGATAATAAGGGCCTTGCAGCAGTACCTCCTTTTTCATTATATCAGCAATCTCAAAACCAAAATAGAAGCTGCACAAAAGCTCTTAGCCCACAGATGTGTACTCTCCTTCTTTCTCTTGATCTTCTATTTTGTTTCATATTTTCACTAATTCTAATTTTATCACATATGTTTACTGAGAGTTGCCTTCTCATTTTATGGACCATGGCCTGTTATAATACATTACCTTAATTAATGTTAATCTAACATTAACAGTGTTATTGTTTAATGGTGACAATGGTCATTGAAGTCAAGGTAACAGCAAAACAATGGGGAAAAATGCCAAAAAACTCTTTCCTAACTTCTTTGTTGTCTGTAAAGAAGGGGGTGATAGATATTTCTACTGTTAATCATTTTGAATTAGTCATATAATACTCAGGCAAAAACATTTTTACAAAGCAAGTGTTTCTCCTCCCTAAACCTGTGGAAAAACAATTTCCATTATGAGTGCTATGTGTTCTCAAAGCCTCATTGATATGTGCCCTCAAAGCCTCATGCAGTCACAGGTAGGTTACGTCAGAGGTGGCTGAATTTAGAGTGTGTGACTGATTTGTAGTGCAATGCTAAGATTAAGGGTTCTAGGATTAAGGGTGGGTGTTGTTTACTAAATCAGTGCACTGACTGGACTGGCACCGCCCTACTCCTGGGAGCCTGGATATAGTGCAAAGAACAGAAATCCCTCTCTCCCCTGTTGCTCTTGTGCTCTGCTGTCTTCTGCCTGCCATGATCTGTTGCCCTTCTGTCATGTGCTACTCTGCCGTGGAGTCACTGGAGTATGGACTGAAACTTCTATGAACTGTAAAAGCCAAATAAACTTCTTTTCTTTCTTTTTTTTTTTTTTTAACTTTGGGGGTCAGGTATTTTTGTACCAGCAACAAGAAAAGTAACTCAGACAATGAGCTATATAAAATGTTACGCTACTTAAAATCTTATGCTCTATGTTAATACAGTATTTTATCAGAGTCAGATAAATAACAAAAACATTATGTACCTGCTGGTAAGCCATGTTGAGGAATAAGTATCTTTCTGACCTTCTCATAGGTAAGCAGAGGCTGTAGGCAACATGCACAACCGTGAAGAAAAAACTCAGCAGTCCCAGCTGTTTCCTGCACTGCAACCATGTCTCCAGCCAGGGCGGAAATCTCCTATACTTGGTGCCATAATAAAGCTGATAAGCAGCTGCCAGGAGGCCTGCTAAGTACACCAGGGACAGCAAAGTAATGGCCACTATGGGCAGGGTCTTGTTCACAATCTCAATGGGAATTTTGTAAAAGTCACTTTGCTGGCTTCTTGCGTAGGGATGTATCACATCTCTGACAAAGGAGTAAAGAAAGAAAAATGTGGCCAAGCTTATGGCTACCACCATTGGCCCCCTCCAGAGAGTAAATAGTCGCAGGGGTAAATTTTCAATTTCCCTGGCTGATGATAATGTCCCCAAGTCAACAGGAACAAAATTCAACTGACGGGCAAGTTCAATAACCTGTTGTCGAGCTTGGATATTGTTGCTGCATATATAGACCTGTGGTAAGACAACAAAGATGCATCATTGCTCTGCAGTTTATAAAAATGGCCAATATCATACACTCTAGTCTGTGGTACATCAGTTGTAATGGCCTTGAGCAGTGCACATGGGTAAAGTCAAGGAGATAGAGCATTTAATAATTTATACACTTAATATTAATAGATTTCAAATAATGTTCTAATAACAAAACAATTCTTGGCATTTGTGATGACATGAAAATAAAAAGAAAACAATCTAGCTGCAGCCTAGGATTCGATGGCTTGAAAGTGAATGGTTATCAAGACCCTGATACATAGCATGCAATGATATAATACTTTCATTTGTTTTCTAAGAAATCCAATAAACTGGGTCACAGACAAAATTACAGCAGTCAGGAGGATGAGCTAAGAGGATCACTACATGTTTGAGGCCGGCCTGCGCTACTTAGTAAGTTCAAGGCCAGACTGACATATACCATGAGACCCTGTCTCAAAAAAATGGAACCAAAATCATGTTTAATTTTAGCACTTTTAAGAAACACTTTTGTGTGTTGCTACTCAGAAGCTTATTCAGAGTTCTGAAGAGGCATTGACAGATTTTTCTCATCTGCTTCATTCTTAAACTGAATATGGTAAGTACTATCATGGGCTCTTGTGCTATAAATCTAAACAAATTTGAGAAATCCAGTTTGCCTCTACTTGTCCCACAGATACAGTTTATGCGTAACATAAACTGTATTGTTTTATACTCTATGAATATTTAATTTATGTGAAATAAAAAAGGTTTTCCTAAAGTATTCATCTTGGGAATAGTGTTTAATAGTATCCCATTCAGATATAGGATACTGTGTATAGGATACCAAATAGTGGCAAGGAAGGAAGGAAGGGAAAAAGAAGAGGGAAGGAAAATGGGAGAGAGGAATACAAAGAAAGACAGAAAAATAATTATGTGTTGTTGTTTCTATTTTCAAGGAGAAACTCCAAGAATGCATCACATAATTTATCAGCCAACCTTTTCTTCTCTGTAGTTGATTATGACTAAAAAGTTCATGTTATTTTCTCAGCTTTGCACATCACTTGGGGAATCATTTCAGGTGCTCATACAGTTTTCAAATTAAATGCCTAACATCTGCTTATCTACAAAGTACCAGGTAAATCATTAATAAAGTCTAAAACTACCTACCTGGCGGCTGGCATCTTTAGGTCCTAACTGAAGTGCCCAAGCTGAGATGACGTTGAATCCTTTGACAACCAAGGAATCCGGGAATAAGGAGGCCAAATATTCAGCATTGGATTCTGGGTATTGGTTTACCCTCATATTATTGCTCACATCAATTAGGATTTTCCCCACAAGAAGATGTCTCAGGTCCCATAGGGAGGTATAATGTTCTCTATGCAGTGCAACAAATATGATGTTTGTTTTTGTTAAAGCATCTTCGTGATGGGTGACATCCACCACATGAGGAAAAAATTCAGATGCAAACTTAGGATTTCTACTTCCTATCACTACATGATAGCCACATCTAATAAGCCGAATGGTCAGAGATTTGGCAAAATCCCCACTTCCAATTACACCCACAGTGACTTTTCTTGCATCTTTGATACCATTTATGCCATTAGGCAAAAATGTTTCACTAAGACTCTTCGGGCTTCCCATCATAGAGATTGATTCCATGATATGAGCTCTTCCGAGGTCAACAAGAATATCCTAGAGGAGAGAAAAAAGATGCTCACCAGTTATCTATTACTAAACATCCAAATGCTTCTAGACGTTTACAATAATGTATTGTGTTTCTTGAGGGAAAACATTTTGGAGCACTATAGAGTTATATAACCTGAAATACAATAAGACACAACTTGTAAGCAAAATGGATCTCTAAATAGAAGAATCAGCTATCACAGAAGAGTACTCTGCATGGGGCTTCTCCAGTCTTAACATGCACACAAATCACCTGGGAATCTTGTTACAATGTCAATCTTGACTCTGTAGGTCTTGAGGGAGGCTCAAGGTTCTGCATTTCTTCCAAAGGTGGTGGTGATGCTGCTGGACTGTAGGCACTTCTTTGTGTCACAGGTACTAAAGCATGAAAGAGACTAAAGTTTCCCAGCAGATCATATAGCAGCAAATCTGAAACAAGTGCAGAAAATGACCTTGACATCAAGTGATAGGTCACAAGGCAGACAGAAGATGAAAAACTGTAGGATAAGCATTTAAACCAAAACTGTCAAGTGATTGGGGTTATGTGGAGTCTTAAACTGTCCTATATACCTGAGTAGCTAGTGACTCTATGATTAAATGAAAGTGAAATAAGTCAGTCAATACAAACTGAATCCTGGAACTTAAATAATATTTTAAGAAAATCAGGCATCGAAGCACAGCAAAGGGTTAAACACCACAGAATTCTATCATTCACCTTATAACTTCATTGAGAGTTTCCCTATAGAAAAGGGTTTGGTAACATGATTATGGTCTTAAATGATATAAAATTTATGAAATCTTTTCTATTTGCTGGCTGTATGATGCAATTTAGGGCTGGCGAGATAGCTTAGCAGACTAAGCACCTGCTTAGGCAAGCACAGGGACCAGGGTTCAATCCCCGGCACCATATGCCATTCCAGCCCCACCCCCGGGTACTCTGAGCCTGCCACTGAGACTGGGTATGGTGGCACAGGCCTGCAATCCCAGATCTGGGGAGAGTGAAAACAAGAGGATCATTAGTCTGAGGTGTATAGTGAGACTGTACCAAGTATACAGAAAAAGAAAAAAATAATTTAAAAATGATAGTTTGTTGTTTAATAATTGTCAAATTATTATTTTTTAAGTTAATTCATTTTATTTTTTTCCATAATTTTATTGAGAAACAAATAGCAACGAGACAGTTTCAAATCAAATGGATAGTACAGTTTCAATAATTAACACATTGCCAGCTGTCTTCCTAGTGGTTATTTGTTGTACAAGATGCAGACATGATATCCTATTTGCAAACACTATTAGAACAAATCCCTCTATTCATTCAATTAAGAGAATGTAGCTATATATCTATCCTAACCATTTTGAATACACAGATACAAAATGGTCATTCATCTGTATCCCCTTTTTTTTTTTTGTTTAGTTCCATCATTTAAATATTATAGGTGAAAAATAAATAAATATTATAGGTGTGTGAACTCAGCAAAATATTCCAAGATAGTCCAGTAGTCCACAGTACTATTGGGTCTTCTGCTTGACTGGCATGTCAAATTATTTTTATTTAAGATTGATATCTCAAATGTTCATACTTGTGATAACTTGGTCAAAAAATATAAATTAGATTGCCATGCATCAGTGTTGCTGTTGGGTCAGAGTGAAAAAAATACTATGCCAGTCAATCCCATTGCACCATTTCATTCATGGTCACAGCAGATGCAGAGCGTGTCAAAGGAGCTAATGAATTTTATAGCACAGGTGGAATGTTTCAGAAAAAAACAGTTTTTGCTCAATGAAATGTGAAACTATTGGAGTGAAGAAAGTTCAGCTTTTTACCTTAGACATGGGTCACACTTAATGATTTCAAATGCATCAATAAATTAAACTTTAGAAATACAATACCAATACCACTTAATACATCGCGCATACTGTTTTAACTCCATCCAGTGCTTTACTGAATCCAACACAATCACCTGATGAGACAAGTGCTACTATGAAGCCTGTTTTGTGATGTACTGATACATACATACATAATTTTCTAGGATCCAAAGTGAAAAGGGGGAGATCCATGATTACAGCCCAGGCAGTCCGGCTGAAGCAGATGCAAAGGGAGGATGTAAGGAACTTAAGAAGGGATTTTATCAGAGTAGCGCTCCACTGTGCATAAATACCATGTTTTCAGTATCCATTCTCTACTGACAGACATATATGCTGCTTCTAAGCTATTGAGAATTGCGCTGCTGTGAACATGGGCATGCATGGGTCACTGTCATTTGATGTCTTTATCTCTTCCTGGAGGGCTCTCACTACTAGATCGAACTCGTAGTGATCCGCCTGTTTACAGCCACCCAAGAGCTGGGATTACAGGTGCGCACCACCACGTCCAGTCTCAACTACCATCTCAGCGTGCTCCAGGGGCAGAACAGGCATTGCAGGACTGGGGATCGAAGCCCTGGCCCCTGCTCTTGCTTGCAGGCTCTTTAATCCACTGAGCTATTTGGCAGGCCCATGAATGCATCATGAGATGGTAATATTAAGTGAAATAAATCAGAGAAACAAGCTGAAATACTCCATGGTTTTTCTTATGGAACAAATTCAAAATATAAATAAGGATCATAAATAAAGGATAAAAGGGAGATGATCTCTTGCAAATGGGAATGGGACCAAGAGCTAGAGGAAGAAGAAGAAAAGGAGAGGAAGGGGCTAAAAAGGAATAGTTATGAGAGGCCGTGTGGGACAGTTACATCTATGCCTCACTGCTGCTTAGCTTTGTGCAGTGATCTTAATGACCAACTTGGACCCTGGCAAGTGGGAAAACTCACTGTTTGAAAGCTTATTACGTATTTCCTTTCACATCTTTCAAGACAGAAAGAAGGGGGGGTAAGATACTTGTATCTGCTTTCTTTGGTGTAGTCCTATCTACCCAGAAGGCCACGAGTTGCAGGGCACCACAGTAGTACAAAACTGTCAACATTTTTTTGGAAATACTGTTGGATATCTAGGCAATCAGGAGCAGTTAAAAGATCCAGAATTTGTGAAATCACTGCTAATTTTACTTAAAAATTAAGAGTGAATTTACCTACTCTCAATCACATACCTTATCTTAGGATTGAAAAAAGATAACTAGGTTCACAAATTCAAGTATCCTATGTCTCAGTTACAAGGTCTTCTAAGTATATATACTATAGAACATCTTGAAGTATAAGAATTGCAAAATCTTTACATTTAAGCAACTATGATGATCAACACCTTTTCCAACTAAAAACTAAAATAAGTATTAGTTACTTGCTTATTTTACAAAGCAGGTTTAAACTCCTGTAAGTCACCATGCCCTTCAATAATGTGACTGTGGCCAGGAATAGAAAGTGATCTAATAAATGGGACTTACAGTTTTAAGGATTATAAAAGCACGACAGAGAGAGAGAGAGAGAGAGAGAGAGAGAGAGAGAGAGAGAGAGAGAGAGAATGTGTGGTGTGTCTATCTATGAGGGAGAAACAGCAAGTTTTAATGGAAGGTGGCTTTATTTATTGTTTAAAGGATGTAATATCACATGATTGTGAGCTATTTCATAGTTCACAGTGTTTTTATAATGAATACTATCTTGTTTAATTCTCAGATGTTGCAGAATACATATTATGACTATCTTAGAGGCAAAGAAACAAAGGCTTGGAAAACAAATGTACAGTTTACAGTGATACAATGAAGATTCAAACACAGTTTTCTACCCTGTGCTCATTTTGAGATGACAAAGCAAACGTCATATGGAAAATCTCAAACCTGTTTAGCATCTTCAAATGTGACCCATAATTCTGTTTCCTGTAACTGCTAATTTTAAATAGGTAAAATATAAATCTCATCTTAGGCTAGAATTCCAGTTCCAAAACAGATAAAATATGGTGGAAATAATTCTTGCTTCTGGATGAAAGTCAATGATCTGAATTTATTAATATAGGTTAAACAAAACATGATTCGTTACTGTGTAACTTTTGAAGAACTCCAGGTAGCAAACCATATGTGCTCTGGAGACTCTGCAGACATGGCCTGGTATGTCCTGCTTTTAGAGGAAAGGAAAGAAGAAAGCAAGGAGAAGTATGTTCATGTCCTGTTGGACTCACCCATATCCAGATCTAAGAGCACCCTGTCACTTACCAACTATCTGGTGCTGCTGATATACCAGAGCAGAAATCTCATCCATCCATCCATCCATCCATCCATCCATCCATCCATCCTTCCTTCCTTTCTCTCTCTCTCTCTCTCTCTCTCTTATGAATTCAGGACAGGGTGTACAGGATCTCACTACATAGATCAGACTCATAGTGATTCTTCTGTTTTCAGCCTCCCAAGTACTGGGATTACAGGCGCGTGCCACCACACCCAGTCTCTATCACCATCTCAGTGTGCCCCAGGGGTGGGGCCAGTACAGCATGCTGGGGATCGAACCCCGGCTGCTGTGCTCTGCCGAAGGAGGTACTTTAGTCTGCTGAGCTATCTGGCCTGCCCCAAACTAATCAATTTTCAATTCACTAGCCTAGAATTTTGGGTTATTTAGTTAAATGGCTGAGCTGAAGTGGGGTCATCTATGAAAAATAAGGTTATAAAAATGACTTAACATCTGAAGGAGGCTTGTCTCCTTAAGAATATGAAAAACCTTACATTGTACATTTCCTTGGACAAGAACTGATGCCACTCTAATCTCAAGGGAGATCAACTCTTCTGTGGTTCGCAGGAATTTATCTAGGCCACTCTGTGCTTGTCCATATGAGATGAAGGCACATGAAAACATAGCACTCGCAATCAAAAATTTTAGACTTTCATTAGGAAGAGGCAGGCTTATTTGTAATAGAAATAAAAACCTCATAAGCAACATGGTCATAGGATATCCTAGAAAATGAGAGATGAGAGTATCACATGGTCTTTGTTGATTCAAGTTATTCCTTTGTGTGTGTGTGTGTGTGTGTTTGTGTGTGCACGCACATGCACACATGTATGTGTGTGTATAAAAGTATTAAAGTCATACTTACAAACTGACATGTAGCTCACATAGTACTTCCATAGATCAAATTAATGACAGCGCAGTGAATACATTCTTACTTAAAACTAAAAAGTTCAGAAAATAAATTTGCTTTTTTTGTGATTTTACATTACAAGTACTAGAGCACTGTTTCCCAAATAGCAATTTAAAAAATAGATGAAAAGTGTAGGAAGTTTTTCAAAACATGATTCAACTTAAAAGAGTTGTCCTTCACACTGAGATTGTGTCTTTCTTGCTTTGGGCTGTCACCATTACCTTTTTGTTCACAAAAGAACAGCGGTAAGAGTTGTTTAAGCTTCCAATCCTATGGAGCTCTTTTTCTCCTTTTCATTTTCCTGGTCTGTAAATCTAGCAAGCCTGAGGGTTATCATAGCCTTCGGAATGCTGTCAGAGTCTTCAGAATGCTGT